TCACTTGCCCTAGAAAAATGATCTTTGACGTGAAATTCTTGAAAACTTGATCAAGAACAATAACCGAAAGCTCTGGATACCAATTTGTTAGTGCGTAAGGCACTTTTAACGAGGAGAGAAAGAGAGAATAATAAAAGAAATAAAGATTTGTATTATTCAATTGTACAAATAATGATACACACTATGATTATTTATATACAACTCTAATTGGGTTTGAACTAACACAACTTAGATTATATTTAAATATTAAATCTAATCAAGTCTAATTTAATATTTCATCATAGTTTACTTAATAAAAAAATTAAAAATTAAAAATAAATAAGTTTTAAAATATATAGATCTCTTAAATTAAAGGTTTTTATAGTTTAAGTAGGGTCTCAAGGTTTCAGTTTTTTAATTTTAATTTTTTAAATTATTTTTTTAAAAAGGTTTTTTAATTTAAAAAGTATGTTTTTTCAAGATTTTTTTTTATTTATAGAAAAAAACTTTTTTTATTTTAAGGAAATAAATTAAAAAAATTCAAGCTTTATTTTCAAAAAGAAAATTGAAAAACCTTTTTATTTTAAAATTTAAAATTAATTTTAAAAACAATATTTATTATTGAAAAGTATTTATAGATTATGTTTTTAAAATATATAAATTATGAAAACAAAAACAAAAAATCTTTTCTTTCAAATAATTTTTTTTTTAAATAGTCTTTCAACCCTTTGACTTAGACCCCCTAAAAGAAAATATTAAGGAATTGTTCGTTAGATCTCATATCTTTGACGTTCCGGAAAATTTTCAAATATGCTCATAGATTTTAGATTTCTCAATTCGGTTTTATTCTTTCTTTTAATTTAGTGTGATCCTGCATCAAACCAAACTCAAACTCCCATAATATTCTAAGATTTGTTTAAATTTCAAATTCTGAATCCTTCTTTATTATCATGGACTCATTCTCAGAATAAACAAGGAACAATTTAGGGTTTTGTCGAGATTTTAAAATCTGCAATATACCATGTTATCACAAATCATAAGTAATTTTAGAGAAGATGAATATAATTTAATATAAATTTTTGTTATAAGAAACTTTCAACTTCTTTAGAATATCGTCGGTCGATGTCACAATTGTCACATATATCACGATTGAATTCTTTATTGCGTAACAACGAAATGTATTTCACATGAATCTTAAACCTTCATTTGTTTTCAACTCAAACTTGTTGAACTTCATATTTTCTTCGTTATCAATAGAGTGTGAGTGATGTTCGACCTTAACCACTCTTTGGTTGTCTAAGTAGTGCAATAGTTTCTCTAGTTTGGATTTCAAATCTACAAGAGCGATATCCTATGTGACTCTAAAATAAAGAGGGTGGCTCACGCCGTTGAAATACACAAATGCGATAAATCAATATTTTTTTCCTTCCGGTGTATTTTGTTAACAATATATGAGACATATTTATATAAATTTTAGATCAATATGGACCATACAAAAACAATCTTGTCTCATGGCACATTGCGAATATTGAAATATGAATATTGAAATATGGATTAACCCTTTTGCATATAAAATAACACAAAATAGATTACATTCCAGAATCAGTATTATAGAATCTGTTTTGGCAAACAAACAGTTTTACATAAAAACAAAACTTGTTTTTTTTCTAGAGAAAATTTTAAATCTAATTTATATTTATCTAATATGTTAGACATACATTAAAAGTACATCAAAATGTATTTGGATTACATTGTTAAAAATAAAAATTCAAAATTACATACAAAAAATGTGTCATCATCTAAATGCATTGTATGACAAAATTAAAATGCATCAAAAGATCAGTCACCGGCTAAATCTACATTTATGGGTGATTTCGACTTTGACTTTTGTTGATTTGATTCTCTTTCAATCTTGCTTAACTTGGTGAAATCTTCCATCATATTCAAAAAAAATATTTAGCCAAATTTGAACTTCTTTTGTGGAATGAGATGTCCACTCAGGGGATATTCGTACTATAGGACATCCCAATTTCAAATAAACTTGAATAAAGTATTTTAATTTTTAAAGTCGCCCAATACACATAATATGTGAGATTGTATTTTGAGTTGGACCACTTTAAAGTGGAAAAATGTTTTCGAGAAACCATATCTTGTAAGATCGATACACACCCTGTTATATACAATTGCTATAAGATAACCCATTTCAGGAAAACATATCCATTTTTCCTTTGGTGCTAGACCGCTAACACAATGAATAAAAGATATATAAATTTCATTGAATTGTTTTTTTTTCATATAACCTTGTGTATGATTTCTTGTGCGTCTTCAACTCTTTGATAAGATGCTGACAGGAAAAGTGTATGATTCTCCATGTACCAAGAAAAGCTAAAGCAACGTGATAACCGCAGTTACTGTCACTCATAATATCTACAATCCGATCAATATATTTGTGCATAAAAAGTGACATCTTTTCAATCTGTATCATTTTTGTAATGGTGGTGAAGATTTCAGAAAAAGTGTGTAAACATGTTCAAAATAGAATGGAACGCTTGGTTGAATTTCCACTTTATGCTGGTTTGACCTTCTTAGCAACATCATTTGTTTTTTTATCGATTCCACGAGTGGTTTCAGATTTGTGGTTTTTGGATAGGCAATCTTCCTCAGCTTCTCTTTGAAGTACAATTTCATGTTATGATCAGCTTTCAAAAATCTCTCTTAAATCTCTTCACATTCTATCATAATAGATATAGTAGATTTACTCTCCTTCATTACACCAACATTATCAAACTAAAGCATTTTCTAGTGTGTGTAAACTTCATCCATATGTATGAGTTTATCAAGTGATTTGGTGTATGATAGGCGCGTCCCGAAAGAAACTTTGGAGTTTCTATAAGGTGCATAATCATTACATGGGGTGTAATTAACACCACGCTAAACACAGAAAAATTATTAAAGTACTCCAAAACCAATAGACCTGAGACACTAGACATTTCGGTGACCTATTAAGGAGCTGATCCGGGAAAATCCCAACATGAGATAGATGACACTGGAAGATGTCTTGTTAGATTTTCATTCCTCGTAAATTTGTATTAAAAATACTTGACTTCAGTTATGGATGATGATGTTGATGATGCACAAGTTACATATCACAGAGCATGTGCATTGAATTCATACCTTTGATTTTGGTCGACACGTCCATATTTGTGGACAAAAGCGACCTATGTCACGTTATCTACCTTATATACTTCATTGACTTGGAAAGGATTCACGAGTACAACTGGGAAATTTCTTGTTTAATGTACCTTTAATTGAAGGTACTTTATGGAAGACAAGATAATTGAAAGGACACAACTGTCTATTTATGGTCATTTTTTAATACCCTTACTAGTAATAATTTCATACTACTTGTGCTACATCGTTACTAATATTTCATCTAAACCATTTTCAGACATGAATTCTCCAGCATTTTCCATGTTTCTCTAAATGGACATACGTGGAATATTACCCTAAGGCTTTGCCACATGCATGCTCGATCATCCCACTCATATGGAATAAGGCGAGCGAGTTGTTCTGAGTTGTTGTTGGTTGTATCGCCTGGGGATCACTGTGAGACACAATCCTTAGAGGTGATATCCTTGTACTTCATATTATTGACCTATGAACTTCGACTTATGTGCCCACATCTACCTAAACGAGTCCTGCGGCCGTTCAAATATATGCAGGATATACCCCAGAGACTCCATCGTTGTTGCTCGTGCCACTGTCCTTCACATGAATGTTGATGGGACATTTGCATAGTATTGTGATAATCTGGTTCCAAAGGATGTACTTCATGTGTCAGCTCTTCGTTCATGGAATACGCTATACAACTACATCCAGTAGTTTTATTGAGTGTCACATTCTTACATGACACCAGATGTAGAAGGAAGTCTCTCTAAGCCAGCTTATTAGGAGATCTTAAAAGAGAATCAGACAAGGGCAAACCATGTCCTTTATATGTTACCGTTATGTCACTGTATTATGGCTATTGAGAGAAAGGCCATAGTTTGAAGCGAGTTTGAGGAAGACACTTCTCAAATGACCACTCTACATGTCATTTTAACAGAGACGCGACATGTGTTACAATACAAGTATAGGAGAAACGGAACGTCAGAAATAGACAACAATTATCTTTTACTTTGTATTTGAATATAACATTTTGATATTTTGTATTATAGTTCGTTTTAACACTGATGTATAATTTACCAACATTTTTGTTGAATATTTGATTTTATTGTTGAATGAAAATTTACCAACATTTTTGTTGAATATTTGATTTTATTGTTGAATGAAATATATATCATTTATTGTAATGTAACATTTATTAAAAAAATATCAAATTTCTTCTAACTTGTTGACTAAGAGTATAAAATACTATAATGGAGTGAATTCAAAGATTAAAATCCAAAACCTTTTTTCCCAATTGTAAGAAACACAGATTAAAATCTGGACCTTGATGAAGTTAATTGGTGTATAATAGGCACGTCCAAATTTTGATTTCCGGACAACACAAAGGGCATTTTGGGATTTCATGTGTGATCACATGAACAACGCCCTAATATTAAAGGGCCATAAAATAAGAGGCCAAAAAAATACTCATTCAATAAAAGGCCTAATATTAAGGGTCATATTGGGCCTAATAAATAATATAGGACTTTTTTTACACCTCTACTTATAATGATTTTATATTTTTTCAGTAATAAACAAAATCTATGATATAATGATAAAACTCCTAGTTTATAAAACAACTACTATGAAGATATTGCTTGTGGGAATATAGACAAAGTAGGTCCCTGATTTTCATTTTCACAATATACAATTGTAAGAATTCATTACACATACAATTGGTCATTGTACCTTAACAATTAGGTACTGTTCTAGAATGCATTTGCTACTGAATATGCTTTTGATCCAAAGCATTGCTATCTACAATAATAGTGTCTACCTCCTGATTACTAAAGAATCATCTTAAGTTTAATAAGCTATTTCATCAAATCTAAAAAGACAAAGCCATTCCAAAGACTATGCAACAGCATTGATGGTAATAAATTCCTTGACCTTGTAAATATAACACCCATCACCATCCCAAGAAATATAAGTGGCAGCATCCTCTGTATGTTAAAATGTGCAAGCGCAAACGCAACCGAACTTACCAGTATTGCACACCATACAGGCATGTATTTGGTGAGAGACGGGAGTAGAAAGCCGCGGAAAACTATCTCCTCCCACACAGGAGCGCAGACGGATACTACAATTGCATACAACAGCATTGCCACGGGATCCCTTGCTTTTATCGATTGTTCAACGCTTGAAAGGGTGATCTGTGTAGATGGTAAGATAGGTAGTAGGTCAAGGTTGAATTGAGATAGCCGATTGACAAGAGGAAACATGAGACATCCCATTACGACGTCGAATTGCCAATACCCTTTCGGGCTAAACTTGAACCAGTCGGGGGGAAGAGGACGGAATCTTGAAAGACATCGGACAAGAATTGCCATACCGGCTAGTCCTTCGGTTACATCAGTGACAAGACTAAACAGTGCCTGTCCTCTAAATGTCAAAGAATCCTTGCTAAAGCCGGTTATATGAGCTGCAAAAGGGATCATCCAAGATCCAATAAACCAAAATGCTGATGTCCAAAGAAGCATAACCTGCGTCAAAGATTGCACGAATTACAGCCTCATGTTGAGCGTTTATTGTTCAGAATTTCAACTCGCTCAATTGGGATTACATTCCACTGATACCACATCTACCATAAATTTTAGCCATGAGGATTTGATAAACAAGAGAAATTTAGGTTAATTGTATTTAGATCAAACTTTAGATAAATGCTTACTTTTAATATTGTCATTGCACTCCATGGTACAACCCATCGTTTACCAATCCCATTGAATACTTCATTTGCAACCTGAAAGGAAAACGAGCCTTTGAGTAAACAGATTCATACAAGTTAAACATTTAAAGTATACTTCTTTTTAGATTAAAAACATGGCATTTGTAATACCATTCTATCAACCACTGACAAAGTAACGACTAAATAAAAAACGTGGTATATTTTAACTGAGAAACAAGATGATGATGCAGATGCAGTCAAAACAATAACGCTTAATTTAAAGATCAGATAATCTCTATATTTCAGTTCATTTTCAATTAATATCAAACAGTAACTTCCTTTTATTCCATTCCACACCATTCTATTCCATCACGGGTTTAGTAATACAAGACTCTATGGGTCTGTTTGCGAGTTAGTTTTTGGAGGGTTTTGAAGGGGAAGGTTTTGGAGGTTTGTGTCTATATTTTGATATGTTTTTTATAGGAGAAATTATAGGCCAATTTTAACAGCTACTATGTTTTTTAAATAGAATGATCACTTGTATATAGGCAGAAAATTGCATTCGTCTTTTGGTTGTATGAGGATGTGACCAAAATCCTAATGCAGTCTTTTATATTTTCAAAAATCAAAACCACAACCCTGATAGTGCGGGTACCATTCTCACTCTCAGCACCTAATAAAAAACCCCTATTATCCTCTACAAATCACTCTAATCCTCATGTACATCCATTGAACCTTCAATCAGTCTATAATATGGTCTTAAACCATCTATAATATCATACCATAATCCAGCTGCGAATACCCATAGTGCAAATACCTAATTTATGGAGAAGTGTTTCTTTTAGTATTAAGTAATTTCACTATACAGCAGACATTGCCTAATAACTACATAGCTCATATTTTAGAACACCGTCCTAAAATTTACTAGTCAGCAATAAAGAAACAAAATGCAATGCAAAACAATTATAAATTAGTGTTAGTGAATTTTGCTTGGAATTTCATCACCATGAAATCTGATGGCGCATGGGAGAAAAGCACGTATTCACCGATAAGGTAGACAATCGCATAGTAAACATAAAATACAAAAGTAAACAAAAGAACATTCGACCTTCGGAAAGATTGACTTCCAGTCCCTTTTGGTAACACTAGGCTCCTTGGATTCAGATTGCACCAACTCCTCATGAAGACAATGGTCTATAATCTCAGGTTTCGGCGTTTCTGAAGAATGATACTCTTCATGCCTAAAGCACAGAATACTCAATTTCTGCAATCAAAAACACCAAACCAAGAAATTGTGAACCCAATCACTTCAACACAAAATTATATGCATCCACCCTAAAAATACTATCTTGCCACACCACTTTCACCCATAATCATACAACCAAAACTTTATACACCAGTCTCGGATTCTGAGGTTCATTTGGGATAAAGGTAAGAACTTTTTCATACCCTTTTCTTTTAACTCATCAATTTCATCAAAATATAAAAATTAAAAAACAACCCATAATAGAAAATCAATAAAATTGCAGAATACATAAATAAACCTCACTTACGTTGTTGTTGTTGGGTGAATTGATACGAGAATTTGAGATCCGAATGGTTGTTGAGGGAAAAGGACGAAGTGTTGGAGGACGAAGAAAACCCTTAATTGGAAGAAACGATTGACGAGAAAAGACAGAGTGAGAAGAAGAGGTAAACAACATTTATGAATCGGTTAGCTGCGACAGTATAATCATATGAAGGATTTGGGTTTGGATTTGGGAATGTGATTTGAAGATGTTGGTGTTCCAGTTATGGTTCTAGTTTCTTCCATACACAGAAGACAACACTATTTTGAAGAATTTTTCTAAAATTCTTAGGATATACTAGTGAGTGAGAAAAATTAGGAGGGTTTGGAAAAGGGAAAGAATTTGGATTTGATGAGTAAATAGTAGTGAAGAAGACAATTGGGGAAATGCGAGGGGTTAGGGTAGGGAGGGAATGGATTAGGTAGAGTTTTACGAGGTGTGTATAAAAGCATAAAAAGTTAGGGGTAGGTAAATACTACTACTATTCTCGATCAAAAATGTACTACCTCTTTTGTTTTTTATAAAACACAATTGATTTTTTATTTTATTGAACATTGAATTTATCTAAGTTTATAATCACATCAAATATATTCATTATTCAATAAATTTAAAAAATGATTTGTCTCTCATAAAAAAGAATAAAGATAGTAGTAAATAGTAAGTCAATTACAACAAAATAATTTATCAACTCCATAATTTACACTAAATTTGTTTTTTAAAAAAGGAAATAGAATACGGAACTCCAAGTTTTAGAATGATGGATTTTCATGCAATTATATTATTATTGTTTTATCTGAGTTGCAAGTTAATACGGAAATACATTCTTTTATTTGTTAAAAAAATTCTAGGATTAAGGCATCTTTAACTTCTAGGATAAAGGCATCTTCAACTTCGTCTTCCCAAGAGGAGGAAGGTGTCACCTCCTGATGCCCCCCAAAAGCCTCACTGGTCCAAGTTGAGGCACATATTGTCAATGCAACTATTGCTTAGTAGTTTGAAGGAAACTCGTAAGACTTATCACTACTACCTCTATATGTAGACCATGTTGTCAGGCATGTGTGGGACAAAGAGGTAAAATTTATTTGTCTTTATTCTTTGAAATAAATGTGTTATAATATTTGAAGTTTCTGACGATAATTTATTTTCATGCAGTATCGTGATGCTTTATATTACATCAAGCATGGTCGGGAGCTTGCGAGGCTGTAATAGCTTAATGAGTAGTGGTTTCATGATACAGTGTAACTATCTAGCCTATGAGATTTATGCATGATCGATTAGACTACTATTAACCATGGTATTATCATTGTTCGTTGAGTGTTGACACTCTGAGATGACATCTTTTTATCTTTCACGTGGTGAGATATCCATAATATTGGATGATGTGGCATGCATGTTACATCTTCTAACTAGATGAAGATTACTATACCACTTCATGATTATCAGAGTTGATGCATTGGAGATGGTGGTGGATTATTTTGGAGCTCGCATAGCAGATGCTCTAAAGAAATTTGTTCCAAGAGACTCCTATGAACATGTCCCTTCTACTGTGGTCTATAGAGATGTAGATGTCATGTATGATAATTTCCTTAATCATCTAATACCAATTTTAGCACGGCGTACCTTATCTCCTAGAGAATATAGTTGAGCATACAACTATTCAAGTGGTATTTCAGAGGGTCACATCCTAATATGACACTAGATGTTAAAGGAAAGCCACATAGGTTAGCTCATCAAGAGATTATATAGAATGAGCAGGCTAAAGCATATCATGTCGTTGATGTGTTACCTACATACCGTCCTATTATGGATCTTGTGCGTACAAATATAGACAGAGAAGACTTTTCTGAAGGATCTTCTGAGAGGATATTTGTATATGTCATTCTTATTAAGGCATAGACTGTTAATTCTCTGAATTATGTGATTGGCATTATGTTCTTGTAGTCATCAACTCCCCAACATTGTTTGTTGCCAATTGTTATATCTCTAAGTTGATTTGAATTTGGTGAAAAGTGTCAGCAAGATCTTAATGTTTGTATCGTAGGCGCATGCGCAGGTATGGACATAGACGTGGACGTTGGTGTGGATGTTGACATAGTCGTACATGTAGGCGTGGGTGTAAAAATAAGCATAGACATGGACGTAGGCGTGGCTTTTTTTCCGATGCTCTTCTAACCAAAAATGCTTTTTAATGCTTTTATCAAATGCTTTTATTTGTATGCCAATTCCCCAAAATGATTTCAAACAATATTCACAAAAAACAATTGTAATATTTTGCAAACAAGTCTAAAAATAAAGAAATGCAATTGAAAGATTTGAAGAAAACTTCAATGTTTTTATTGATAAATACGCCTCTGAATAGGCGAGCATACAAGATGAAATCCCTAGAAAGAGGTAATCACAGAGAGTTTTGATAAAAACTATAAATGGCAATGAAATGATAATTGCTATTGTTGTTCCCCAATGTCCTTTTGATAGCTCCAATCTCCTTTGCTTATGAGTTGAATGATTTGGATCCATCCCATCCTTCATGGTTTGTAGTCGCAGTTCTTAGATCGCAGTCTTTTTGTTCTTTATTTCTTTGAATGAGATCATTAATTTTTGCCTGGATTGCCCTTTCGGGTTTTCAATCCACCGGGATAATTTTTGCGTATGTCCCTAATTTTTGCCTGGATCTCACTTTAGGGTTTTCGAGCCACTAGGACGCTCCTTTTTGCCTAAGTCGCCCGTTTAGGGTTTGAACTTAGCGAGCTTTTTATACATAGTATTTTTTTCTGTGCTCCATTATTGTGAGGATGAGACCACCACCGGAGAATGTTGTTTTCACCACATATGGACCTTCGTAGTTGGGTGTGTCCATTTACCACGTGAATCAAGGCGAGGTAGCAGAATCTTTTTTAGCACCAAATCTTCTTCTTTGAACACTCAAGGGCGGACATTTTTTTGTCGAAGGCTTTCTTCATACGCTTTTGAAATAATTGACCATGGCACAAAGCTATTAAGCGTTTCTCTTTAATGAGGTTGAGTTGATCAAGTCATGTCTGTGCCGACTATGTTTCTTCAAGCTTCGTTTCCATTAGAACCCGAAGTGATGAAGTTTCAATTTCCACTGGGAGTATTGCCTCCATGCCTTACCAGCAAAAAAAGGATTTACCTGTTGAGGTACACACGGAAGTACGATATCCATGTAGGGAAAAGGGAAGCCTTTCGTTCCAATCTTTGTATGTTTTACCATTTTTTGAATGATTTTCTTGATGTTTTTGTTGGCAGCTTCAATGGCTCTGCTCATTTTGGATTGATATGGTGAAGAATTATGATGTTCGATCTTGATATTATTGCATAACTCCTTCATCATTTTGTTGTTCAGATTGGACCCATTGTTCATTGATAAGTTTCCCCTGCATTCTTCAGATAAAATGACATTACCTTGTAACAGAGAGTTCCCCAAGGTGTCATGAAAGTAGTCTTCTCCATATCTTCGGGTGTCGTTTTAATTTGATTATAGCCTGAGAAATCGTCTATGAATGGGAATGTCGAAGCTTGAACTGTATTGTCTGCCAAAACATCTATGTGAGGCAACGGGAAATCGTCTTTGTTTTGTTCAGATGCTGATAACCTACACATATACATTCTTTGCCATCCTTTTTTTGGGTACTGGCACAATATTAGCTATCCAAGGTGGATAATCTACCACCATTAAGAATCCTATGTCGAATTGTTTAAGGACCTTTCCTCAAATCCAGCTAGACATATTTGGACGAGTTCTTCTAGAAGAAGAACAACCTTCCTTAAGAGGTAGTTTATGCATCACAATATCTGTATCCAATTTTGGCATGTCTCTGTAAGACTAAGCAGATATATCCACATATTCATGTAACAACTTGATAAACCTTTCTTTGACGCTTTTCTCCAATGTTGCCCCTTGCTTGATCTCTTCTGGATCTTCCTTTGTGCTAAGGTTAACGGTCTCAATAGATTCCTGATGTGATTGTATACTATCAGTTCTCTATCTCCCTCGCCAATTCTTTTGTAAGTTCAGGATCTTCATCATCTTCCTCTTTAGCTCGGTTGATGGGTGCATCAAAATGATATTGGATAGCAGCAACAATATTATCAGTGATTTTAGACATGGATTTTCACTTTTATCATGTTTTGGTGCAATTTTTTAGTATGTGAATTTGAAAATGCATATGGAGAACAATATTTCCATTTTAAATATAAGGGATAAATGCAAGAGAAAGACAATGGTCTTAATTAAATGTGAAATATAACTTTTATTAATCGTGAATATTGTCTGAAACAAAATGGGGGACCCTTACAAGTAACCCCTATTCCTCGGTCTTGACATAGTTTCTTTCAAAAACAAGAAAAAACTACTCTGAAAAAAATACGATCTCGGGAATCTCCACAGCTGTCCAACTATTGAGTTCTTCACTTGGGGCATATTCATGGATGAAATCAGATGCCCCTTTTGATATTTCCCTTGTTGGATATCATTGCTACTTTTCCACCATGCTTTTCCCCTTTGTTGGGAGGAAAGTTCTCTTTGATCGCTCCAGGGTCAGTGACCACCTGAATTGCATTCACAGTCGGACCACCATGTGGATGCATGGTGTAATACGATGGGAGAACTGACTTTTGGTTTTGCATTTTATCGCAAATGTTGTGTGTTGTACCCCAAAATTTTCCCTCTCATTTTACTCAAAACATACTCCTAGAGGTCCTCAATTTGCTCAAGGTTGCCCAAGAGTTGACCAGACAAACTCTCTCCTAAAGAAATGTATCTTAAACTAGGGTTTCCATTTTCATCAAGATGGGTGGACTCCAAAGACTTAATATGCTCCCCATGGTCCTAATATGTTCTCAAGACCCCCCATGTCAAATTTCAAGCCTTGCACAAAAAGTTTGCTCAGTCAGCTGCTCAGGTGCTTGAGAATCGACTGTATTAGGTCAAAAGTCAAATGTGGCCCACATACAGTCAAACTTCAATATTTTTGGTCAACATCAACATTTTGAAGTTATATCCATCATTTTATCAAGGGTTGATCATGATTCCTCAAGGAATGCCCCAAATTCCTCAAAACCCAAAAGTTGCTAAATTAGGATTTCTTAGGAAAAGTCAACCAAACTTTGACCAA